TTGTGGGCGGGATTGCCGATAAAGCAAAGTTGTATGCACTATAGCAATCAATTGTACCACTCATTTTCGCTTTAAACGTAGGTTTTAGACACTCAATTTACCTTTTACGAAATAGGGTGAATAATTTAAATATATATGCTTATAAGCCCACATATAAATGAAAAATAAGAAAATAATCGTGTTCGGGATGTTGATGGAATGGCGCGACGAAATAGAAAATGAGGTTCACACAAGCATCGTTTCACCTCTAACCATATGGTTGTATGAGCATTCAGCTTTCATTCCTTAAATATAGTTCTTCAAGATGATGACAATGATTATTATTATTATTATTATTATTATTATTACCATTATTACCATTATCGTTATAATTGGTATAATTGTCATTCTTTTTTCTCACCTTGGTCGTGTTGTCAGGGCGACTTAATTGGACGCACATTGTCCAAAGTCGTCTGCTGCAGTAGTTATGATTAGACCGCGGTACATTCCCACGTCCACAGTCCGACTTTGGAGGTGATCATGCATACAATGGACTCCGAACTAGGTACGTTTCTCTCTGAATCTTCCTACCAATATGACTCGGTTAGGAAAAGAAGGTCAAACAACTTGTATACAACGAAAGGAGACTGCGACCACACAAAAGGCCACACCATCTTGGTCGTCATACTGTCTAAAAATAGACTGTACGTACAGACAGGTGAGATGTGCAAAATTACAGACAGACCAGGACAGACATCAGGATTTGAATCGACGATTCAGCAAGAATGCAGTCGACTGGGTTGTAGGCGACAAGCTGGACCTTTGCACGTTTTTCGGACGAACTTTGTTCTCTACACCTGCTGAGGCTGAATGAGGATGCCCGTGAAAAAGTCAACATGAAGACGCATTCATTACGTGACGCCTTACCCACTTCCCCGACTGACAGACGCGCTCGCCACGTCTTTTCGCATGATCAGGTAAGTCTATTTACTAGTTGGCTCAAACTGGCCAATCAGCAAAGGGCTGTTGAGAGTTGATTGGTCAATTGTGCAATCGACCTTGTCGTTTATCCGAAGCACGCGAGAGGCGTGAGGCTATAAAAGGGTATTCAGGCGACGGCAGGACAGTCGCTCTCGTCTCGACTGCCCTCCGGCGAGCCTCCCAGCCGCTACGCCTCTCGCGTCCGATTCAGGCAGACTCGAGTTCGAGGCCCCCATTCGTCTAATCGTCCGACAAAGCCTCGCCTGCCGGCGTTGTATGGAACTTGCCTTCCGATCAGCAGGTGTGCACGATTTGCCCACAGTTTTGGCCTTCTCCAATGAGCTGATACAGCATCACTACCCCACAACCAGCCCAATCGAGCCCGCTGTCAAAGCCAGCCTCAGTGTTGCCGATCTAACAGGTCATCTGCAGCGCGGCGTTTTTGACGTCCTCCTCCTCCTCGTCCTACCCCCCGAGCCCGGCTCTCGAGGCAATCCGGCCCACTGCGCCAGCCCGAGACGTACTGACCACCGAGTCGCCATTCACCATGACGACAAGAACGCCGACAACAGTGGCGACAAAGCGAGCCATGACAACGAGACCGCCACCCCAGATGGGGGTGAAGATGAAAATGAAGATGAAGATGAAGATGAAGATGAGCGCGGCGACAAGTTGGGCCGGCGGACGAGCGGGACGAAGAGGCGGCCCGGGCCTGCCTCGGCTCGAGGTGTCACCGAAGCACTGGAGCGACAAGTTCGCGCATCTGCTGCGTGTCCAACGACAGCCCGGCTGACTATGCCTTCGTCCGGTGTCGAGCCGGACCCTTTGGACAAGTGGGCCGTTAAAGGCTTCGCCCTCTGCACACACGCCTTCTCGTCCAGCCTGGGCGGGTGGGGCGCCCATTTGGACCAGTACTTTGTGCTGCCCGAGGCTCGGGGCCGCGGACAAGGACGTCAGTTGTTGGCTCAACTCTGCCGTCGATTGTTGGCCCAAGGCGGTCAGTTTGTACGACTCAACTTCAAGACTACCATCCCCGGCCTTGCGGACGTCTACGCGAAGTTTGGCTTCCACGACCTCACGGCGGCCTCGGGACATGCCGACTTCGGGACTGCTGCTGCTGCTGCTGCTGCTGCTTCTGCTGACAGAATCACCATCTTCGAGTTGGAGTGTGTCCAGAAGGTTTTGCACTCGAAAGAGGAGGACGACGTGCAAGAGGCGGCGACAGCGCCCTCTCGAGAGGGGCGCCGAGCAGCGGGCGGACGCGACTTTCTACCCGCCAGACCGAAGGACGTGGTTTTGCGGCAAAGCCCGACCTCCCGAACGAGGCTGGTCTCCTCCTCGTCCTCTTCCTCGTCCTCTTCCTCGTCTTCTTCCTCTTCTTCCTCCTCCCCGCGACACCGCGCCTCCGAGCCGGCTCGAGGTTGGTCGAGTCGGTTCGAGTCGTGTCCTTCGGCGTTCGGACGCGGCGCAGACTGCCACCGGAGCCTGGCACAGAGTGCGGCCGGTCCGCTCGGTGACGGCGTCGAGGCTGTGATGGGCCAGTCGTCGTCAGGCAGTTCTTTGGCGAGTGAAAAGGAGAGCGAGGACGAGGGGCAGACGGACGCAGATTGTCTTGCCCTCTTCTCGCCTCTGCCACGTGGCCGGAGGAGATGCGCCTCTTGTGCCTCGCTGCCCTCCGAGTCGGCTTACTCGTCGCCATCTTCCGGCTGCCCCCCCTCTTCTGACTACTTCTCCGGCTCCGAGGAGGACTCGTGTCCGTCCCACTTGGCCCCGCGCCTCGACACGTCGAGGCGGCCCGCAGCCATCCGCCCCCCCAAGCGTCTCGTCGTCCACGTCATGCCCGTCCTGCCCGACGCGGTCGACGGGCGGCGCCGGCTCGTCTGCCAGGCTCAGTTGGTCTGCGTCTCTGAGCCTGCCTCTGGCCATTGGTGCTCGTTCGTGGAGCAACTCTGCTTCTCGCCCTGGTCCGGTCGCGTCCTTCACACCACCGATTTTGTCACGCACTTAACTTCTGCTCACACTCCCGCTCCCGCTTCCGCTCTCGATCCCACTGCCGGTCTCTCTCTCGCTCCCGTGCGTCTGCTGACGCG